AGATGCAAAGTCAGTGCCTAAACTGGGTATCTGTCAGCCTATCCATAACCACAGCTTCATCACCAAGCAAGAACTGAGGCAGGGAGTATTGGCTAGGTAATATGTAAGGATAACAAAGACCTCTGTACATCTAATTTGTGTATATGTAATTTGACTAGTTTTCTATGCAGGAGATATAAAAACCCAGAAAAACAATGGAGGTGATTTCATACATATCGGGAGAACAGGAAGAATAGGTTAAATATAAAGCTGGGTTTTGGAGGCCTTTCTATTTAACCCATTCCTGTTCTCCAGAGTTTAAGTAACGAGAAATCTAAAAACAAGAAATCTGTATCAATATTCTCCAAACACTGGGGTAAAACAGTGGGGACATGAGAAATCCTAAGGCCAAAAATATCAAGGATTTCCATTTACTAGCTTACTCAATCCAATTTTCATGCTTCCGTTTAATTTACTTTTACTTTTAATGAATTCAATAGTAGTTTTCTCATTTAGTTTGAGTGTGTAATAACAATGAAAAATCAATCCACTGACTCTCTTCTGCTCTGTTTTGTTGGAAGTTCCCAATTAAACAAGTCTGAAGAAAGACACAAAAAAATGTATACTTGGACCCAGTCAGAAACATCTGGAAGCTGCTTTCCAATGTGATATGTGTGACAGATTTAACTATTTCATGGCTCAAGAAGGATAATAATTGTAATTTATTTGAAGGATGACATTTTATTTCTCTTTTTTTTCTTGATGTGAGGATCATTTTAGCTGAGACTCTCGGAAAATGCCAACAGCTTTGATGAGCTGCATGTATAACCACAGTATGCATGATTCTATTGATTTTATCTCTACCTTTTTCATGTCACCATAAAAATTGTGTCTAAGCGTATATATGTAATGCATTTCAGTTATTATGTATCATTACATCTAGAAGTTTGAGTGGACTAAAAGTCTACCTATTTTATCTGTAATTATTTCTCCACTATGTTCTTTATGGCCAACTTTTATGGTTGATCACTATAGCTTTTAGCCAGGGAAGAAGGGAAGAAATACTTAAGGTTGACTAGAAAGAACTTGACAGCTGTCAAATCTGGGTGATAAACATTACATTTCAGTTTATTCTTTAAGATAGTTTCTTCATTACATAGCACTTGATAAAAAAAGAGGATATAAATATTATTGTCCAAAAGGCAGAGATTTTTTTAAATCTAAGTTAGTTGAATTCTTCAATCATAGGATATGTACCTCCTATAAAAGTCACAACTGTGTTTAATTTTTGCTAGATATTACAATTTACAAACTCACCCACCTTAAAAACAAGTAAACCCACCCTAGATGGCCCAGACCCCTCCTACCTGCGTTCCCCACTCTGCTGTCCCCTGTAGATCCTGTTCCCCTCCTCCCTGTTTCCAAAACGGACTCCAGCGTTCCTCTCTGTGCTCTGCTGAAGTCTTATCCTCTGAAACCATCACTACCCAGTATGAAAACTATCTGCATCCCCGGTCTACCATGAATATTTGGCACTCTCCTTCAAACACATTTTGCATCTAACATCAGGGCATCGGCGGCCCTCAGGCCTCAGAGATTTGCCCCTGCTGTCCTTTATGTCCCTTCCGTTTATGCGGGGGTCCCTTTTCTTTCTGGTCTGTAAGTGTTGAGTTGTCCTAAAATTTTTTTCCAGAACCCTCCTTTCTTATTCATATATACTTATTGTCTAGCTAATTCCAGCAAGTCCTGTGGTATCATAAACACACCTGTGTTTATGCAGCTTCTCTCCTGTGATCTGACTATCCTAGCTAGCGACCTGTCAACAACATGTAATTAATATTTTCAAAAAATTATTTTCCCTTTCACTCTTGACTTTACCCTGTCTTCCCTATTTCCATGAGTAGCTTCACCATTCACCAAGTTGGTCAATGGAACCTTTGTTTTCCTATTTTTTTTCTGCCATACTCTGGCCCAACCCATGAGAAAATCCTGCAGCTTATTCCTCCATATACACATGGAATTTGATGACCTGGCTCCACTAGGACCATGCCACCTTACTCCTCTCTCATAACCCCATAGCTCTATTACCTTCCAGGTTTGCCCTCAGATGTCTATTGCACACTCTACAGTCAAAGGTCACTGTCTCTATTATAAGAGTGTGAGCGGTCCCTGATGTTAATGCTCTGGTTTTACCTGTAATGCATGGCAATTCCCAAGTCTTTGTCCTGCTCAGGGCGTCTGACCTTAGTTCACATGGTTTGCTCAGTCAGTTCTCTTGGGGTTTTGCTCCTAATTCTTTTCTTTACAGACTTGTGCTAATCCTTCAGGACAGTGACTGTACTTCTGTCTCCTTAACCAGCCTGCAGGTTATTAGACTGAGTTACTGGCACGTGTGTCTCATGTATCCATGCTTGCCTTTCAACGTACTGCTTTGCCCCTGGAGTAGAAGGGGCAGGGACTTGGCTTCATCCCTCAGTTACTCTCAGTGCCGACGCTAGCCAGGGTACACTCTAAGCAGCTACAAGACACAGAACCACATTGAGGCCAGAATCACTCGTAAGAAGCGTGGAAATATTAGTTTTCTACTCTAAATTTTTTAAGTTAACCTTTTATGTTTCACTACAAAGTGAAACTCAGCGTTTTCACTTGATTGTTTTTAACAAAGAAAGCATTTGTTGCATTGCTATCTAACTCTCTAACTGGTATGAAGAAATAAACACAGCTGGACAAATATTTGCTCAGAAAGAACTGTCTGAATCTGCTTGTGAACTTCTGAGACATGAGCTCTCCAATCCTGGAAGGGAAAGAGGGAAAGATAAGGTCGTGTGATCAAACATTTGCCATGTGACACCAGGAAATCATTGTTACTGTCAATGAGTCCATGTATATAAAGGATTCTGTAGTAAGCTTGGTTAACAGAAACGAATTTTCCTTGCATAAAAGTGAAAATTCAATTATTATGGAGTATTGTAGAAATTGAACATTGAACTCACATAGTGGTTTTGTCAATTCTCTCGAGCTTTTTAAGGACTCTCTGTACCATACCCATGCTAATTTGCCTTCACATTAGCAGTGGAAGAGAATTGTTTTAGCCTCCTTGTTATCATTTGCTCTATTCTTACACAGCAGCCATTCTTCCTGTTACAGGAGAGGACTAGCTGTGGTTTGGATGTGCCTTGCTGTGATGATTGGTGAGACTGCCCATTTTCTTGTGCCTTTTGTTCATTTGACTTTTAGAAAAGTCAATTTAGGTCTATTGTCCACTTGAAATAAGGCTATTCATGGGGCCTAGGAAGATAACAGTGACTGCTCTTTCAGAGGTCCTGGATTCCATTCCTGGCATCCACATAGCAGCTCATCACCATCTGTAATCCCAGTTATAGATGGTACCCTCTGCTGACCTCCATGGGCACCAGACATACACATGGTTCACAGACAAACATACGGGCAAAACACTCAAATATGTAAAATGAAATAAAAGAGCTCATTGATGTTTGCTTCTGAGCCCACTATCTGATTAAAAGTTCAAATATTTCCTGGCATTGTGTAGGTGTGATCTTCCCTCTGGTGACTGACTTGTTGGCTGAAAAGAATTATTTCATTTTGATGTAGTTCAAGGAGATTTTTGAAAACATATTTGGATCATCAAACCCATACTGTTGGAATTACATTTTTTAAAAATATCAAATAATTTTTATTTTATTAGCAATTGAAACACTAAATTTCTTATGACAAAGTAAGTGGATTTTAAGTCATTGAATTTTCTTTGTCAAAGTCAAAGAACATCATGGAATATTTTGTTTTAGAATTCAGCTCTCCTAGAGTTCACAGACATGCAAAATGACCTCTAATGCAGCTCATCTACAAACTGGACCCCATGTCACAGCAGACTCTAGGGTTGAGGCAGAGCACTAACTGCTATGTGGTCCTCACTTTGTAGCAATTTGTAGGTACAAGTGACACATCAACAAGCCCAAGCCCCAAGATGACACCCTTTCAGGAGGTCATGAGACAGTTCATCGCCAGAGGTGACTGACGTCATGGGGACTCTGGCCATGGTCCCCTGGCTGCCCTGAGAGACACAAGCCTGTGGAGTCTGTGTCTATCGAGGCCTCTGGCTCATGTGTGCACCTCTGGCACATCGATAGGGAGTTTCTGGGAAAGAAAATGGAACCAAGAAGCTTTGCATATCTGTTTCATTTGGAACTTCCAGGGTCAGTACTGAGAACTGTTTGTTTAGGAGATACGGCCAGTGAGATTCAAAAATAGAAAATTTACCTGGGCTACTACTGGCTATTGCCAAGCACCATCCCCATCTATCCCTCCTGGGCCCTGTCTACCCCCTCAGGTCTATGGTCTTTTAATAGTGAAGTTATTCTCACAGTAGTCACTTTGCATGCAAAGCAGGAAAGAAGGCCAAAACTAAAATAAAATTTCATTTTCAGAAAACTAGATGGTGGAAGTGAAAACACTCTGGGTTACAAGTGAAATAGAGGACTAAAAATGTGGCTCAATTGTAGAACATCTGCCAAGCTTGAAGAGATCTTTATACACACACACACACGCGCGCGAGCGCACACACAAGCACTATTGAAGGCATGACATATGTGACTTGATAGTGAAGAAGAAAAAGCTTGGTGACAGAATATCTAGGGAGAAGTGACATACTAAATGTGCAGCACTGAAGACTTTGCTTTAAAGGACCCACATGATCTGTGATGACTTTGGCCTCACAGGAAGACTGCAACCAGGGATGGCCTTTGTATAATACCACTACCACATATCCTGAGGGGGTTTCCGACATTGTAATACTTAAGTTTTGTCATTTGTCATTTGAATATATGAATTCAGTGAGGTTTAACATCATTATTATGGATATTTACTAAAGATATTGGCTATACACTTATGACACTTTAAGGACAAATTACCTAGAATAAATTGTAGGTATAAAATGATTAAAGGTATATTACTGTGGGAATATGTTAATGAATTGTTTAACGAAAAATCCACTTACCAAATGGTGGCTTGATCTTATTTTTATTTCAAAGATGAAATACACATTATAAACACACATACATATGTATATACACTTAGATAACACAGACTCAGAGGGAGAGGCGAGAGACAGAGACCTCGAGAAGCAGAGGAGGAGGAGCTCCCTCCTTCACCCTCTTACATTCAGTGACAGAATACTCAAAAAAAAAAAGACAGGTGAGTGGACATATCGGGTCAACTGCAGTTATCACAGAGATGGAACATGTTACCCTCACTAATCTTCATTTCCTAACCACTTACTAATTATGACACATTTGCATCTGTACAGTAAAATCAGTTCATATCCACGTCTTACATTGAAAATCACTTCCTGTCCACCATTCAATTCCTTTAAAAGATATACCAACATGACATGTTTTCTCTTTAGCTCACATTTATTAACACTTGGCATACAGCCAATAAATTATAACACTCAATAAAATCAGTCATTCGTTGCTAACTTTAATAAATTAAGTATGAAACAAAAGTGTATTACTAAGGAGCAGGCATTAACTATATATCCCTCAATAATCCCAAAGACAACCTAATTTCAGCACCAAGAATGTCACATACTCTGGTTACCCTTACACAGTTACCACTCTATATAGCACAACATTTCAAACTAGCAGTATAACATGACATTTTAAAATAAAAGGGCTTGGAAAACCCGCCAGTTCAGCCCCCCATAGTATTTCATTATTCTATCAGTCAGTGTAACTAGGGATAAGGGAAATCAATAATGTATTTGCCTTTTGTAGAATGGACACATATGGGTTTTTAAATGCCTTTTAGTACAGCACAACTGAACTAAGAATCATGATTAAATTAGGCAAATTTGCTTTCTGTACTATCTTACTTTTGAGAAGGACTAGCATGCACTTTCCCCTATTTTGTGAAACCTCCCTTTTCTATTATGTCTTAGGCCATGACTTAGGATCTAACAAGTACCACTATTATCTCATATTTAAACAGCAGTGAGCACCCAAATGGCTGTTCTCCTAGAAATCTGGGGAGAAAAGGGAAACAGGAGAGAGCAACAGTCAGCTACAGGAGCAACAACCACGGTTCACCAAAGTTTGTGTAAGCATCTTAGCAGATGACTACAATTGGGGAACGATGGGCAAAGGGCTGTCAACTTGAATGATAACACTAGGCATCTGAGGTTGGAAAAAATGTTGGACATTAGATTATGCAACTTAGAAATAGAATCTTGTCCAGGTTAACAGCTACATCACTCCAAGGAGCATCTAACTGTGGCTATCAAGCTCCTACAAGGTTCCTCTTTGGCTATCCTATAACCTAAAACAATTAGTGAACCGACACCTTCAAGAGTCATGCACACACACACATAGGCTACCGGAATACCATTACCCCGAGTTGTTCTTACTCTATTTCCTTAAGGAAAGAGTAACTCTTCCACATTGAAAATATCATATTATTGGACAGAACCAAGCCCTCAGAATGTGGGTGCCAGTTAGGAAGCCTGGGCAGTCTATGGGACCTCTAACAGTAGAATCAGTATTTATCCCTAGTGCACAAATGGACTTTGTGCAGCCCATTCCCTATGGAGGGATACTATTTCAGCCCAGATACATGGAGGAGGGCCTAGGCCCTCCCCCAAATGATGTGACAGACTTGATGATCCCCCATGGAAGGCCTCACTTTCCTGGTGGAGTGTGTGGAGGGTGGGTTGGAGGGTCGGTGGGGGGCATGGGAAAATGGGAGGAAGAGGGAATGGGGCAGGAGGGATAATATGTAAAATAAGATTGTTTCTAAATGAAAAAAAAATTGTACTATTCCTTTTGATACGTGTGATATCTTTTTGCTGTTATATGAAACTGACTTTCATGTAAAAGTTTTATTTTTTATTATAATAAATTAATCTATATCAATATTTGGTACTTTTTAAAGAAACAGGGGGAAAGTCTTATTTCTTAAATAGGCAATACATTAAGATAATCGTACCAGGTTTGAGTCTGCCCTCTGGAACTCAGATTGCCATATTACAGAATTGGATGTTCACTGTCCAAAGTTCTGCTTTATTGTTACTACAGGAAAAGGGGTAACTATGTTTAACTAGATAAATTCCATACAGACCAAATACAGGTTGTTGTAAGTTGGGAAAAGCCTATTATTTATTCTATAACCATACTCATCCCAAATCACATGAGGGGATGACATTTTGGGCCATTGGGCACATCTTCACTTGTCACCAAATTCTCTTCAGAAACAATCTTAAAAAACAGTATTGAGAGGTCTCTCAGACGGTCCTGCTCCTGGTAACACTTGACTGTGACGGGAACATTAAAGATGGACCAGAAGACCGAGTTCTTCAGTATGTTAAAGTATGTCAGATAACTACTGCTCAGCCCACATTGATCTCATGTCCATGAAGTGGGGGCGTGGCAAATAAATAGGACACTGACTATTTACTGAGTCCTTATGTTCCAAACTCTTCACATTAGTCATGACATCCATTTCTCATGATTTATGAGCTAACAAAAGAGTAAATACAGCACTGTACAAAGTGACCATGGAAGAGGTACACCTTTGTCAGAGCCTCCTTTTCATTCCTTACAATGTGCAAACCCCTTTTTATCACTACCTGTTTACTTCAATGCAAGAAGCTGTTATCAGCGTAGTGTGGCAGGCGTGGTTGTTTCCGGGAAAACACACAAACTGGAGTCCTGAATCCCATTCCGACAGCACATGGTTGATAATCTTGCGGTGACCACTTCTGGCAGTATCAAAGACTTCTAGCTTCATCTGTGCACGCCTTTCATGGGATTTGATGTGCTCTGTAATGCTACAAAGTAGCTCGTGACTTCCTGTTTTCTGCACATCCCACAGTTGGGTCTCACACAAGTTTCTAGCTTTGTTGACACCACGTTTGATGAACATCTGAAATCCCATGAACCCCCACTTCATTTTACACACGTAAGGAGGGCTGGCATCTGGAGGCACTAGGAAGGGAGCATGTCTCACCAGCAGTGCAAAATTTATACCCTGGAAGTGACAAGCACTTGCAAGGCTGACTAACACAGGAGTCAGTCACAGTCTCTGAGGTCACACAGGTCTCAAGGAAGAGGATGACATTGGGTTTTGGTCCCACCACTCATGTTAGCTGCATGGCAAGTTCATTTTGAACTTTCTAAGCCTTGATAAAGCTAATACCACCAACTGTGAACAGCTGTTACAAAGTTGACAAATGACATTTGTGAAGACACAGCAGAGATGATGTAAGAGCTTATGAACAGTCAAAACTGTTCTCCATTGATTGTCTCTGCATTCACTGTTGCAGCATTACAACAACTGGTCTGTTTTAAGGGCTGACCAGTCATGTACCAGACCAGGGATACAGGGAGAAGCAGAGGTCAAGTAGATAAATAAATAAATAAATAAGTTCTTGAATATTTTTACAAACTTACTTTCTAATTTAACTGCTTCTAAATGCAAGTTGAAATACTCTAAGATTAGTGAAGAAGGTGGGAAATGTCTTCATGTATCTTTATAATTTTAGCCCAGAAAGAAATTTTATAATGACCCTGAACCCCTATGAAATTGTCCCAACTACTTTATAAGACACCACTGCCATCAAATTGATGACTTTGGGTGTTAACCAAATAACAAGCAAGTTGAGATCTAATTTAGAAAGAAAAATGTCAGCAGCGAGCCCGCCCGTTCTAGAAGTGGCTATGATTGTCAGGTAAGCTTCACACAGGCAATGCTCACTGAGATGAAACCATAAGGAAAAGTTCATAAAGTGACTTGCTGCCTAGAGCTCTGCAGCCTCGGCTGACTGCGATTCTAACTTGCACAGCAAAGATGCTGTTCTGAGCCGAAGACCAGGTTAGAAGAAAGAATGTGTCCATCCTCCCCAGGGACCGTTCATCACCTAACACTAATGGAGAAGCGCAAGCTTCCACAGACTGAATCATTCCTGTGACTGTGGTATCTAGATGGCATCCATCCTTCGATCAGTGGGATTAAACATGCTTTAAAAGACACAGAACTCAGTGTCAGTGACCACAGACCACCCCACTTTAGGAACGGTGAGGACATGATAAAGCTTCATGCATCTGGATTGTCCCAGCAATCTGATTGGTTCCTTGTCTGAGGCAGTTTATCTACATTTCAGAAAATTGCTTCCGCTGATTAAACTGCCAAGTATCTCTTTCATGCTCAGCAGAAGTTCCTGCAGGTAATTAAAACAGATTCTTCTTACCACAAATAATGAGATGAATGCTCTAAAATCCATGGGTAAAGTTGGTGAAAATCAAGAGCCTAAATCATCAAAATACTTTAGAGGACACAGTTCTGCTTGGAGGGCTCCACGGAGGGTGTGTCTCATTTTCCAGGTAGGAATGACGCTTCTTTTGTTTCCGTTCAATTCTTTCCTGCCTTTCTTTCTTTTCCTAAGGGGGACAAAAGATAAAAGGAAAAACAAAAGAACAATGACAAAAAAAGAAAAGAAAAAAACCCAGAAAGTCTAAGTCTATAATATACTACCTGAACTTGTTATTGAATTGGATAGCTGGAAGAAAATAACTCATTATAAGATCTTTGTATACAACTTCTTGTTTAATTGGTTATGAAGAAAAAGTAGCTAGGGGATGTTGCTGCTATGTATGAGCACGAACACACTATTAATAGGTACCAATGTCACAGTTTTGTTTGTTTGCTTGTTTTTGAGACAGACACCCATAAGCCTAGTCTATCATCATGTTCACTGTGTAGTGAAGGAGGACCCTGGACTCTGATTCGATAGTCCCCCGCCCCCAACCCCGCCACGGCTGGGATTAAAGGAGTAAACCATCATGCCTGACTTCATCTCACTTTTTTAAATGTTGAAAGTTAAGTAAAACACATCCAACTAGCCTTGGAAGCTCACACTTATAATACTCAGGAGGCTCAGGCAGGAGGATTGCCAGGAATGTGAGGCCAGCTTGTTGGGCTCCAGAATGAGACCCTGTATCAAGTAGGCAATGATGCTGATGCTAGGAAACAGGATAAGAAGAAGACTAGGAAGAGAAAGGCGGATGAGCATAGAGGCGACAGGTGCAATTGAAGGCAAGGTGGTCCAGGCATAATCGAAGTCTTGGGGAGGCTAAGACAGAGGCACATCAGAAGTTGGAGGCCAGCTTTGTCTACACAGCTAGACTGAATCAAAAACCAAAACTGATCATCTGTAAGTGAGTGTGCAGTTTTGTAAGAAACATCATGATTATAAAAAGTTAGTGGTGACATTCAGAGGGTGGATTTCCAGGAGACCAGCAAGAGCAACATCTGACTGTGCCATGGCAATACAGGACATTCAGATTCTGGAAAATCTAGTCTGGCATTTATGTTTTATTGAGCTTGAGCACATTTGTTGCTCTTCCTGTGACTCATTTTTGTACAATTATTTGACTTATCTAACTGTATAGGTAACACTACTTTTAACTTTAGTAGTTTGAGTATTTTCAAGTATAATATTTCAAATAATATAATAGTGTTTTGGTATGATTTTGTTTATGTTATTTTTAGTGTTAGCAGTTACACAATGCAGAAAGAAATAATTCAACCACAGAAAACTGTGTGATATTAACAACATGTGATTACCCACTGCGCATGACGCAAATTCTAGAGGCTCTGTGTAAGCTCCCTCATCACGCCTCCCCTCTCCCCACATTTTTGGTAGTGTTTACATATGTCCAACTTCACTGAACAACCATTTATTCCCATTAGCAGTTGTAGGAACTGACATGCCCACCAGCGCCTACACTGAATTTCAGATTATTATGTTAATGCTTTTCCGTTTGATGGCATAACTTTACTCTTTGATGACTCTGAGCAGTAAGGGTTAGAAGGCAGGTCAGATCTGGGAGACAGATGCAAACGGAGGGAGTTATATTTTCTTTTGACTTGTCTGATTGCTTGGTATTTTCTATGTATTGCATTAATCCTTTTGGCTTTTTTTTTCTTCTGTGAGGCAAAGCTTTGAAGTCTAAATATCAAAGGAATTACCCAGCAGCAATTCTCCTGCCACCACTAATTCGTGCTGCTCCTCACACATCATGTCCTTATATAAAACAGGTTTGGAGGTGTCTATGGGGTTTTCATCCTTCTGGCCCCATGCAGACTTAGTTTTTGTTTCTTTATTCAAATGTCAAGCACTCAGCTTCTACTTGGGATTAAACATAGAGTGTTTATTAAATCTGAACACACAGAGAGACACACAGACACAGACATAGACACACACACAGTTTCTGTTGCCCAGAAAACTTTCAGAATGAACAGGTGAGAAACAAGTAAATTAATACCATAGAATCCAAAACTGTGAGTTTCTACAAAACAAAGAATAAAAGGGTACTATACTCCCAAAGAAAAGTGAATTAAAGGAACATTAATTTAAAGTGGCACATGTTGGAAAAAGAAAACATCTGTAGATCCAGTGGGAGCCAGGTTTCAAGCAGAAGGGTTTCAAGTGTCACAGTTCAGAAGAAGCTGGGAAAAAGTTGGTGACGCTGGAGGAAACAAAGAGAAGCCAATGTGACCAAAGCTTGTGTGAAGGGAGAGTGGCCCCAGATGAGAAGCAAAGGACACCAGAAACAGCAGGCCACAGTAACACAAAGAATTCAGGTAAAACAATGCAACTTGAGATATAAGTCAAGAAGGGGGGAGTGGGAGGACACAGAAGAGGGCGTGTGTGTGCGTGTGCCTGTGCGTACATGTGTGTTTGCACGTGTGTGTGAGTGCATGTGTGTGTGCACGTGTGCACTCGCGAGTGCATGCCACACGTGCACACTCCTGCGTGCACTTTACCATCACCAGGGACAGGGAACGAAGCATCATGGTAAAAGGTTGTTTGGCAAAACCCAGATTTTCCCAGTTTTTTTGGCTTTGATTGTGCTGGAAACAGCATGGGTGAAGGAGGTTGGAAAGGGTGAGAAAACCCACAAGTGAAGAAAATCAGAATGTAAGGGACCAGAGTTAGAAGGGGATGCTGAGCAGGGATTTCATTATTTGATGTTTATTTCTGATTAATTTCTGTGACACATGAGGCAGGTAATTCAAGGAGACAGAAAGAGGGGAGGCATGATATATTTCTATTTTATTGCTTCAATAGAGGATTAGTGGCATTTCCTATTATTATTGAGGTATTATCTTTCACGTTTCTCCATTATTACAGAAGGTGAATCTGAGCCTCTTCCCACTTAAACTTCTGTTGAAGAAATGTCCATTTAGGGGTTAATAAAAAATCCACACATTCATCTAGATATATTTTCCTTGGTGTCTGAGCAGCACTCGCTCTTTCATTCTGAAACTTGGATTGTCTCTCTGTCTGTTTCTCTGCATGTGGTTTCTTCCTGTATGTAGTATTCTCGCATTGCTCAGAAAAGCAGCAGTTTCCATGAGACCCTTAAACTACACTGTCTCTGTAGGCTGATGGCCCGGGGACAACGCCAGAGTGGGTGCTGGCTGTCTGCATCTTTCATCATTACATTTGAAGATGGAGAAGAGTCATGAAAACAGTATGGCAATGTAAGATTTCCATTCACAGACAAGGCAAGAGAAGTAGGGAGAGGTCTTAAGGCTCATAACCTTGCTCCGTGAGAATGTCTGAATGCTTGATACTCCTACCGAAGCAAAGGGGAACCTTTTACAACCATCCAAAGGAAAAGCTGCCAGTAGCTCACTTGATCCAGCTACGCTTCTTTTTCGTCAACCTACCTTTCAAGAGAAAACCTGAAACAGTGAGATCTTACTAGTAGATGCTGAACAGCCCTGAGTACAAGTAGACAGTCATCACTTTCACTATCAGGTAGCCTGAAGCAACAATGGCACTGTAAAAGTAACTAAAAGCATTTAGAGAGGGTTCCTGTCAGGTGTGGGATCCGGGCTCCTTCCTTCCCTCTCCTCCCTTCACCGTACGCTCTTCTGTCAGCAGAAAGTCTAAAGTAACAAATGGGTTGACAGTGTGGTGTCTGCTCCTGCATGGGGGAGCAGTCCTGAGTGGAGTTTTCCTGCTCTGGGGAGCAGTCCAGAGCGGAGTTTTCCTGCATGGGGGAGCAGTCCAGAGTAGCGTTTTCTTGCAAGGGGCAGTGTGCTAGTTGTCGCTAAGGCTTTGAGGAGTAGACTGATGAGAATGGGAATGTGCCAACAAGGTGCAGTTTAAATACTGTGGCAAGGGTACAGAATCATGACACGCCACCAATGGGAACGCTACTCCACTTTCGAGAAAACGTGGAAACAAAATAAAAAATTTTAACTTTGATATTCAATTGTCCAAGTGATACTGGCAATAGCATAGACTTTTTCAACATAGGAAGCATTCTAACATTTTTTAAAAGGATCAAGCATCATATAAGAGTTTAATTTAAAAGAACAATGAAATACTGAGTGCTTCATTCAAATATCAGACTTTATATATTTAAAGACAGGATCCTATTATGAGCTAACACTAATCACCCAATTTTCTTGTTTCTCTGTACGTGATTGTCATGAAGCAGTGCAAAAGTCTACAGAAGATGCAAACGATAATTTGTTTCTCACAACCAGGACTTTTGACTCAGAGAGAAAAGACCCTTTGTATCACCACTTCAAGGTCATTCCTACCCAAGAGCCTTGTGCCGGCTGCATTTCCTCAAGGCTTGGGCTGCAGGAGAGTTCTACAGTGTTCTTTCAGGTGGACTCCCATGGTTATTCACTTTACTCCTAAGTGTCTTATCGCATAGTCCACTTTTAAGCAGTTCCATGTGGTCTTACAAGCTCTTGGAGGTGTTAATCCTAAAATATGTATGCAAATCAGGGAAGCACATCGAAGAGCACTGTGAAAGAAGCGTGGTGGGGAAATCCCCCAGGTCTATACATGACACGTGAAGCCTGCAAGGAAGCCGACTGGTACTGGAAAAATGACACATACAATGAGACTGACCAATGGAGCACAAAGTCGAGAGACAGAGCCCCAAATTAAGGGATGTACTGCAAAGATGAGCTCTTAAACCACCAGGAAGAGATGCTCTGGTGTGTAAAGCACACATCCTAGGAAAGGTGAGTTGCAATCAAATTTCTCAGCATGTAAGAAAACAGCTTGAAGTCAGGGCAAATGCTAATACACTGGGATATTGGAGCCGTAAGAGAATGAGAGAGACCCAGGAGCTTTAAACTATGGGGAAGTCTTTTCACCTAGGTGTGAGAATCAGAGGCCACAAGAAAAGACAAAAATCCAAAACAAAACTGGAATTGGCATGGCCTAAGACACTGGTAAACAATGCTGGGAAAGCAAGACTAGGGTCAAAAGTTGTGTCTTCCACTAGAAACTATAGGTGAATTTCCCTACTGTAGCAGCTCTTAGATATTAGTAAGACAAAGACAATCCAATAAAAATGTGTGCATCTATGAAGTGACAATTTACAGAAATACATTATTCGCACACATCTATAAATGAAAACATGAGTAAGTTCAGTCTGAGATATGCAAGTCAAAAATATTCTGAGTGATGTTTGTAGATGGCAGATTGAGATAAATCCAGTTAAGCCAGATTAAAAAACAAAACAAAACAAAACCACTAGGACTGTGAAAAATTTTATCATCTACTTGCACAAAGTGTAATATTTATGGATGTCATTTATTCAAAATGAACAAAATGAGTATTTGTTTTAAAATAGAAACCTGTATTTTGCTGTTAACATCCATAAATCAAAATGAAACACTTATTACTCACACATCTAGCAAAGGGCAGCTGGACATTGTGCCTTCCAACTTCGATGTTGATCCCTCACATTGAACAATGTCCCAACAAGACATTTTCCGTAGACGATCAGCATTTTAAAGGAACGTAAGAAACAGGAAGTTTCTCACCATTAGCATTAGCGGCAGTGCTACTACAGCAATGGGGACCCGCCTGGGGGACTCCGCACCCTCGGTGCACCTGTCTGCCTTCTACAATGTCACAGGCGGGAAGCACAGAGGGAGGGATGGGCACCACGGGAAGGGGCTGAGGCGGGGATGCAGGCCGAGAACGTGACAGCTGGTGCAAACTCACAGGCATCGGCCAGCCTCAGAAGCGCAGACAGAAAAGAGACACAGGGGACTCTGATCTGCAGAGGAAAGGCTGAGCTCAACAAGGGAGCCTCCGGGAGAACAGAATGGGAATGAGAAGCAGACAAGGAATACAACGTCAGTATGAAGGAAGTTCATGCGCACGCAACACCTACCAGCCACTTTTCGTATTCACTGATGGCTTGCTTGTCTTTGTCTTTCTTCTCCGCTCTCTTTAGCTCCTCCTTTCTTCTCTCGTTTATTTTCTCCTTTTCCTTTTGCTTGAGAAGGGCGTCCTTCTTTTCACTCCTGTGTAGGAGAACATGAAACAGTGGGAAATTAAAGGACAAACGTACACTCAGAGATGCCCTCATGTAGCTTCGGAAGCCATGAGATTGAGGGGTGAGTAGACCTGTAAGCAATAAGTTCTAGAAAAGCTTCAGGTATTATTCTGTAACTACCAAACGTCAAATCATGCAGGATTACCATTTTTCAAAGGCAGTCAAACTGTCTTTCTTTTTCTCGGCAACCGTTGCTTCCTCTTTCTGTTTCTTTGCTCTCTCATATTCCTTCTCCTTCCTCGTCTTCTCTTTTAGGTATTCCAGCTTTTTCTCTTTCCATTTTTCAAATGCCTGAAAGAGTTCAGAGTGGTTTTCTTACTTGCTACGGCTTTTCTGAGATCAGCAAAAGCGCACGAATGGATCCTTCATTCAAGCACAAGGACTGCAGACAAGGAAGGCCAGCCAGGGCCTGGGGAACTCACTTGCAGGGCCTCGCCCTTTCTCACGGCGTTTTCCTCTTCCGTTTTCCTCTTGTTTTTTTCCTCCAGCCTCTTCTTTGCGGCTATTTTCTTTGCTTCCCTTTCTTTCATAGCCTTCCAGGCTTCAAATGATGCTAATGCTTCTTCTCTCTTAGCTGCTTTTTTCTGTTTTTTGATTTAAAAGAAAATGACAAAAACAAAAAAGCCAAAAAAAAAAAAAGCCAAAAAAAAACCCAAAAAGAAAATGACATACGTATATGTGTCTAGACAGAGATACGCAAAGACAGATTTGTTTTTACTCTCCCAACAATTGTCACACAAAGAAGTTACACAGCAGGTAATTTATTTAGAATTACTTGGACAAGTTGATCTACAAAAATTACTGATTTTTAGACCCTCAAAGCACTTATCAGGTGTTGACCTATTTTGTATTCATGACAAAAAAGCATCTATTGACTTTGGAAGTAGGCAAAATAAATGTTTTCAAAATAAACTACAATAGGCTAATTGGTACTATTAAATGTTTAGTAAAAAAAAAGATGAAAGTTAAAAGATTATTAAGTAATGTTAGTTGCCCAAGGTACACAGTGACAATAAGTGCTTGGCTTGAACCCAGTTTTGACATGAAAACATAACATTCCTATAACATGAACATATACCAAATGTCATATAATGGAATTACACTTACTCTCTAACCTCATCAATGCCCATATTCGATTTCAAATACTGTTCAACCTTAGAAACATAGACTGTATCACGGAGGTGAAGTCATTCTGAAGGAAAATTATAGTACAATGGCACAGAGGTGTTCAGAGGCACAGCCCTGGAGGCTGCCCCACAAAGAACTTGCTGGCCCAGTGTTGCTCATTTTCGCAATATTTCCCCGCCACCCTGCTTTAGTGTGGATCAATATAAGGAGGTGAGAAGATAGGGCTGAGTGCATGGTGGGTTCTTAGGCAGGAGAGAGGACAGAATGAAATCACAGGAAGGGCTAGACAAGAGTCTTATGCAGCGAAGGAGAATGCGGTCAGGAGTATAGCAGGGGTAGTGTGGAAGAGAAGAGGAAAACGGAATGTCAGTCTATACTACGTTCTTGACTAAACTCTAAGCAACATCAAATTGAGACTGAATTGGTCGGTCACACAAATACTAAATTAATAGCAAGTCCTGCTGTGTCTAGCCTATGCATATGAAACTTAACATGTGTATGTGTTTTTATGTAACAGTCAAGTTGAAACCAAACTGAAGAAATGAAATCAAAAATCAGTTCTTTTATGTATATATTTTACCACTTTAAAACAGTTCATTTGGTAACATTAAATATCCAGAGATCTTTTACTGATATAAAATTCTTTATGATACCTGTTCATTTTGAATCCTTAAGTTTTCACTTTCAATTCTTTTTATTCTGTGCATTTCATGTAAATACTCATTTTTCTTTTCTAACCACTCCTATGAAATTAAAAAAAAAAAAAGGTTAAATGATACTACATGGTGCCCAAATGACTTAGAATTCTTATCTAATTTTGAAATACTTGTTTAAAGTTAAAAAAAGGAACTCAGAAATTTATGTTTTATCTAAAATAATATTCTTTCCCAGTGATAATTGTATAACTTAAAGATGAATATTGCTGTTTAGGAAAATCTTATATTATCTTTCTTATATTGTAAAACCTCAATGATTTAATATAATGGTTAAATATATCAACATTTTATACTGAAATTGAACTGCAAATATTTCCAAAGGAGATTATATTCTGTGTAACAAAACAAAAAAGGTGTTTCTTCAGACTGTGGGAAAAAAAGGAAAATCTTAGTCTGTGGAAAAATTACGAAAATCTTTGTCTCTAGAAAGAAAAAGTTTAAAGAAAAATTGATCATGAACAACATAGACTTTCAGAAGAAATAAGATAAAATGGTATGTAGATTTTACAACAAACTGACTCTTGCTGTATTTTTATAAAATATAACAATATCTTCTCATTCTTTAAAAATATTACTTTTATATTTTAAACAAAATGTAGCAGCAAATAATTCAGAAAAACCCTCACGATTGCTCACACACTTCTAAAAAAGCAATCTTTCCCAGTGACAATGAGTATCCAATTATCAGTTTAGACGGTCATGTTATTAATTGATGAGTAGGCCTTGTGGAAATAATGGATTCTTATTTAAGAAATATTTTCCATTTTACCTGATAAACAGCTGCCCTTATGTGATCAGCTTTGTCTGGCTCAATGCTCTGCTTCCGTGATGGCTTCTGGTCCAAGACTTTCAAAGTCCCTAAATAGTGAGAAGAGGTAGCTGCAGATGGACTTCTCCTTGTGGGACCAGATTTCTTTAAAAACTCAGAGGTCATCAGCCTGGAAAGTTCCAAATGGACCAAGAGCAAGTGAGGTAGGGCTGCCAGACACGCAGTCACTGCCTTTAAAACTACATTCCAGTGCCAACTACGGTGCCTCACACCTGTAATGCCACAGTAAGGAGGCCAGCTTGATACACAAAGTGGGTTGCAAGCTACCCTGGACTAAGTGTGGGACCCTGTCTTGAACAAACAAAATCAAACAAAATTATGACCGCATGAATTGAATTATAATTACTTTCAAAATAATCCACTCATGAGTCATGTTTTCTTACTTCTGCTAACATAATTTAAACTTTATAACTTTGAACTATAGTTCTTATCTTAGATACTTAAAATTAGAGTCTTTTAATGAAACATAAGCCACATCTTAAACTACATGAGAAGCACCAATAAAGTAGGTTTGAATCACTTTTTGAATATGTTAATGTATTATTCTGTTATTTGATAAACTCTACAAATTTGGAGGAACAGGACCCTATCTATGTTTCAGGTACTTATGGGAAAATCAGGCCTGTCTTCCCTTTTAGTGAATAAGGTTTCCTGCACAGCAGCTCTACTCACTCATTTGCATATTTACCATTCCTCCTTCAGGCTGGGATAGCAGAACTGAGTGGCTGAGGCAGGGGTAGATGAGCTCATTCGATGTAAAATACTGACTTACTAGCCAGGGTTGGCTGGCCTGCTTCATTTGGCTAATAGTAAATACTATAAAGGAATCAGAAGGTTTGCACAATACACAGGAGCCAGCAACGCCAATCAAATGGCTTCTAAGCATTTAGTTTCATTATTCCTGTTTGGTTTTATTTGAGACAGTGCGTTACTACGTAGTTCAAGCTGGCCTTGAATGCACAATGATCCTCCTGCTTCTGCCTCCTGCGTGCTGGGTTACAGGTATTTGCCAACATGGCTAGCTTCAGATTCTTATCTTTGTAATAAACCCAATTAGCCCCTGGGAGCTGTCAATTTTTTTTTTTTTGACTAAAACACTTAAAAGAAAAAAAAGTGTTGGACTTCAGTTTTATGACTATCTATATCTAAAAAAAAAAAAACCCAAAAAACAAAAAAACAACCAGGAGCTTCAGCCGAGTAGCTGTTCAGTGAGATTAGGGAAAAAATAAAAACACAGGCAGAGAGAAAACCCTGAAGAACACTGAATAAATGGAGATTTTTCTATGAAAGAGTGAAACTGACTGAGAGTTTCATCATGAGATGTCTATCATATCTGGCAGTGGAAACCACTTCAAAAACCATGACAGCAAGTGAAATGTGTTTCATGGATTCTAGATGAAGGTGAGTTTTGCTAGAATGTGAGCCCATACATAATGATGTTGTAACTTTTACCTGCCAGAGGCACTGGACACTCTAGTATTCGTTGGCTTTTTGTTCTTCATGTTTCGGTCCTCATTTGTTTTCTAGTATGGAAAACACATACATGGATCATTCACCATGATTACTTCAGCCGGGAAGCAAAGCTGAGGAATGAGTGCTGCTCTACATCAAGTGTCAAGCCCTTTAGGTCAGAGCCCCTGATGCTCTCAAGGCTCTGAAGCATCTTAAGCATGAATGGCGCCACCTCAGATGTTAACATGGCTCGTTAACAGCCAACGCTGGGGACAGTGAGTGACTGGAGTGGGTCTGAGGGGCTGCTCGGGTGAAACTGACCTAGGGAGGGTCCTAGGGGCACAGTGGTGGCTGAAAGGGAGAGCAGAGGACATCGTGCAGGTCTACGGAAACAAAGACAGCACAGATGCTTAGCTGTGGTTAACACCATACAAACATGGTGCTGAGGCTCTGTGAGACAGGAGAGGAATATGCATTCAAGGAAGAGTCTGTGAGCTCATCAGATGGTGGCAAGGTGCACAGATGTCATTCCCATGCCCAGTGTGGTGGTTTGAAAGGACACAGCCCCCAAAGGGAGTGACACTACTGGGAGATATGGCCTTGAAGGCGGCGGAGCCTTGAGGTTTCTTTTGCTCAAGCTTCCCTCAGTGTGACACTGAGACCATTTCCTGTTGCCTACAAGATATAGGACTCTCAGCTCCTCTCAGCCAGCACCGTGTCTGACTGCACACTACCATGCTCCCCATCAGGATGTCGATGGACTGAACATCTAAAACTGTAAGAGAGCCACCTAATTAAATGTTTTCCTTACAAGAGTTGCCTTGGTCATGGTGTATCTTTGCAGCATCAGAAGCACTAACTAAGACACCCAGAAACAACAAATAAACTGGATGCAGAGGGGTAGGGGTGTGGGGGATGTGGGGTGTGTTACTGTGTTCAAGTAGGAAGGACCACTCAGCAGAGCATGAGAATAAAACCAAAGTTCATCGCAGAAGAAGATCCTGTGCTTATTGTTGGGTGTTTTAATTTAGACTCACTCCTAGTCTAAGATCCTGTCTGTATTTTATAAAAGACTTTTCCTTGCTGGACAACAACGCATAGGACTGAAAAGCTGGAGGAGAAAGCCACTCTCTCCCTTGCTCTCGCTAGTGCGTGGCATGGCAGCTCAGGATCTCTGGTGGCTTCAGCCTTACTCTGTAGCTGTGTCTGTCCTTTTTTATTGCACCCCTTAATAAATCAGCTTTTATTCTTCTGGGAGCTCACGCTTCACCTATATAGAGACACATATACTATGTCGTTATGAAATTGTAAAATTATCTTACTATTCCTGACAGGTTCCAGTGAACACTTGGCTTCATTGTGCCAAGAGCAAACTTTCCTTGAAATCGAAATTCAAATGAATTAAGTAACATTTACTTGAAAATACAAAAGATGTTCTCCACTCTGATACAGAGTTGTGAGGACAGAAATAAGATCCTTGAAGGTTCTCTTTCATGTCTGGAGCTGCAGTGCCTGCCAATGCTACGCATTACAGACATACCTTGGTAGGCTCCGCTGTCTCGGTGGGTGTTATAACACTTGGGGACGTGGAGAGCAGTGGGTCAGTGGTGAAGTCGTCATCTGTAAATCCAGCCTTCTCTTTATCTTCTTCAATGCCATCAGCAGCCACCTGACCTGTCTTGGGCTGCTCAAGTTCAGGAGTAACACAGTTTACCAAAACTGAATTTTCTTCATTTTCATTTGATATCAAGGAATTCCAGATTTCAGTAGGTTCTCCATCATGATCTGTGTGGAGGCAGAGACAGCACTAAATCCTTCTGATTCCACACAGGGTATAAGAGATTCATCTACTATCCTTCAAATGAGCTTTTTTGTAACTTTTTAAAGTGTGTGTGTGTGTGTGTGTGTGTGTGTGTTAATATGAACGCAGATGCCCTTCTCAGAGGCCAGAGGAGTCAAAATTCCCAATAGCTGGGGTTACACACAATTATGAGCTGACTGATGTGGGTGCTGGGAATGGACCTTGAGCCCTCTAGAATAACAGTAATATGTGCTCTTAACTGCTGATTCTCTCTTTTGGAAGCAGGGTGTCCTAGAACTGAAGCTGGCCTTGAACCCCTGAACCATCTTTCTTTACCTCCCAAGTGCTGGAATGATAAACATCTGCCATGGTGCCTGGCTATAATCTCTTTTTTCTTACAGAATAAAACAATGAAAAATATCTAATTAAATTCGAACACACTTGATCCATGAATGCAAAAATGCTTACTCAATCTAACATTTGATAAGCCCCATTATACTTAGAAAACACAGCATATGAAATTAGCATGGATTAATTACCCCCAAGCAAAGGAGAACATGTGGATATGCAAATCAAGTAACCCAGACCATAATACCTATCCAATTAAAGCTAAGAGAGCCTGCTGGGAAAGCAGGAGGCTAACAGCTCAGCAGAACTGCGGGCAGTAGGGGCTCAGGTGAGCTGCCCAGATGGGGTGGGGGGGGGAGCACAGACTCGTGTAACTCATCTTACACAGAGCTCTAGCCGAGCTCAGACCACTTCACTCCTTCATTTCTCCATTGTCTCAGATGAAGAAGGCACCAAGGGCTGTTGCACACTCAGGACTGAAGGCGCCAAGGGCTGGCCCGTTGCACACTCAGGATTCCTAGGCACAGGCCTAAGCTCCCCATAGGAAGACTAAGTTTGGCTTTCTCTGAATTGCTTCTATTTATCCTGACTCTATGACACTTTGGGATATCCTACAGAAGGAAACCAGCAGTCGCTTATGTGATATTCCACAGAAAAGTCAGCAGTCCCTGTGTAATAGCCGATTTGATTGCCACCAAGATCTAACTTCCAGTTACTGGAAAGTCTTAATTCTGCTGCTTTCACTATGGCTAACTGGGGGGAAGATTTTTGAGAGTAACTAAGTTTCAAAATCACGTTATCATTACATTTGTTCTGTTTCAATCTGAAGAGCATCCATGACTAAATTCATTATTGGAATCTTTGGAGCTGTGAAAAGCACAAGGACTTAGGAGCCAAAGTCAAACTATGTCTCCATCACTGGCCTTAAGTATGTGTCTCAATAGCTCTGCATTATTGGCTCAACAGTGCTTTATTGACAAAAGACTTCCCCAACACTACATAGTATGTTTTTATCTTCATTTACGTTTCTGCTGCTTTGATAAAACACTGAGCAAAACTAATTTGGGAAGGAAAGGGTTTATTCGGCTCACATGCCCTGTTCACAGTCCATTGTTGTGGGAAGCCGGGGCAGATCAAGGCAGAAACTGGAGCAGAGCCCACGGAGGACCACTATTTACCGAGAACTGGAGCAGAGCCCACGGAAGACCACTATTTACCGCGAACTGGAGCAGAGCCCACAGAGGACCACTATTTACCGCGAACTGGAGCAGACCCCACGGAAGACCACTATTTACCGCGAACTGGAGCAGAGCCCACAGAGGACCACTATTTACCGAGAACTGGAGCAGAGCCCACGGAGGACCACTATTTACCGCGAACTGGAGCAGAGCCCACGGAGGACCACTATTTACCGCTTTATACCCCACGGCTTGCTCAGCCTGCTTTCTTATACCGCTCAGCCATTGCCCAGGGGAGACATCACCCATACCAGGCTGGTTCTTACCATACATTAGTAATCAAGACAATGATCTGCCTATAAGCCGAACTGATGGAGGCATCCCCTTGAATGAGATTGCCTCGTCTGAGACAGGTCTAGGTGCAATCACTTCTTCATTTTGGCTGCATCAAACTACATGTGCTCGAACATTAACAAAGGAAATGACATCACCAACCAATGTACACCTCATATTTAATATGCGCTTACTCTAGTAGAAGTCTCAGGGCCTTCTAGGTATTAGTAATTTTTAAAATTCTCACAACCACATGAAACAGATGATTAAATTCATAGCCACAGAGAGGCTTGCTGCTCTGTCAATCTGTCTATTCTGCATAAAAAGTCCCGGTGGCCATTATGCTGTGTCATCTGCATGATTATAGCATCAAACTCGGGTTCCCCTTAAATGACCATTCCAGCTGTCCTTGAGATTTTGCTGGATGCATAAAAGACTTTAACACTTAACTTTCACAATAGCCTTTTGAGACAGGGTAGCTATAAAACATTGGAGAATCAGAGGCATCGGGAAATTAACTTCTGTGTTGTAAAGTCACCCAGTCAATTGCATCATCAGGATTAAAACTCATACAAAAGCAAACATACCGTTTCCTGTAAATACATAAAATACAGTTTTGCTTGCAGACTGGACACTGAATAATAGAGTTCACAAACAGGGAATAGTAATAGGTGTGACTACCTTTTAAGGATGTCTGTTCCTGAGATCCTGGTGAGGTGCAATTTGCAGGGCTTTCTTTGAGGGATGATGAGGTCAGACTTTGTAAGAGCAACTCCTATTAAGAAAGCATTTACCATATAAGGTTAGCCCTAAGGACTCCCAGAGGCAACAGAGTCATTAACACTGTCTGTGCTGGAAAGGTTGGCTCAAGGGTTAAGATTGCTTCCTGCTCTTCCACATGACACCAGTTCTGTTTCTAGAACTGAAGTGGGCAGTTCGCAACTGCCTGGAACCTCAGCTCTTGGGAATGGGACACTCTTTTCTGTCCTCAACAGATACCACCAACTGTCAGGAAGAAAAAACCAGGGGCCAGCAAGATGGCTCAGGAGACAGAATGATTGTTGCTCCTCACAGCCATGCAAGGCCGGGACACTGTAAGTTCCACAAAGTTGTCCTCTGCAAGCAAACCATGCATGCACAGATGCACAGAGACAACAGAGGAACCAAAATTAGTAACTAAATGCAATGTAAAACAAAACAGAAATAATATAGTAAAAAATGCAAATTCATGGGCATAGAACTCTCCACAAAGAAGTTTCCAATCCCAAATAGTTTAACTTCTAATTTAACTTTTCATAACAAACTTCTAGAAAATAGAAGACAGAGACACACAGACAAAATAACAGACACAAAAATACAGTAAATAATTCCATCTGACATTTAAGCATGATTATAACTTCTTGAAAAAAAAAAACACAAGAAAACAAATTTCATCCAGCAATGGCCTTCACACATGCATAGATGGAAGGTACACAAAAGAGTAAGAAATCAAAGTGCAAAACTTATAATGTCTTGACCAAGGCTTTACGCCAGGAAAGTGTATGAATGATATGTACTTAAGTGATGCACACACACTGAGGAAAGGCAAGAGGAGGAAGCAGAGAGGAAGCAAATGTCACACTGTCTCACTGTCTCACTCTCTCTCTCACTCTCTCTCTCACACACACTCACTCACTCACTTACTCTCTCACTCACTTTCTCTCTCACTCACTGTCTCACTCACTCACTCACTCTCGCTAGCTCATTCGCTCCCACCTCTTCCACATCCGGCGTGGTCTCTGCAGGGCTAGGCAGAGGAGGAGATGCACATTAAGTGGGAACTCACACAAAGATGGAGGGCTTGAATGTCAATGAACACACTTGGAAGTCAAGAGTGAGGAGAGAACAGTTACACACCCAGGGAAGAGAAGGCTTGGTCAAACTCCATGGGAAATCCTGAGAATGGCCTTGAAGAGTCAGAGCAGAGCCAGAGGGACTTACACTGAGCAGTGGGAACACTCGATTGTTAAAAATAGAGTGTCCAACAGGACAACAGTTCTCCACTATGGGCTATGTCAGAAACCACATGGATATGTCTCCAAGGCCCCCTCACAGCATGGAAAGACTCCAAGCCTTACAAACAAGATGTCCAACACAAACCACAAACAGAGTGAGTAGCAACACAAGAGAAACAGTGTTGGAGAGAAGAACAGGGCAGCTGCTGAGACAGGGTTATGTGTGGATGCGCTCCTGTTAGATTTTCGCCATAGTATGACACTACTTAAAAAAGAAAACAGGAGCACACACATACATCACATTTTAAGTCAGGGGATGTGAAAATCTAAGGAAACATTTACAGTTCAGAATCTGTATCTGGGGCCGGAAACTTGGCTCAGCGGCTAAGCTGCTCTTTCAGAGGACCCTGGTTCAATTCCCAGCACCCACTCACACGGCAGCTCATAGCTATCTGCAACTCCAGGCCCAGGAGATCCAACACCCTCACACAGACATACATGCAAGCAAAACATCAATGCACAAAAAGTAAAAACAAATGACTCATTAAAGAAGAATCTATACCTGCATAAACGGGCTCCCTTCCCCAGTTCATGTCCACCCAGAGTCGGTCACTTTAGTACCATACTTTCGGATGTAGTTTTAGTTAAGAAGAGGGCACACTGTCCTAACTCTGAGAGGGTTTGTTTTAGGAAAGGAAGAGGAGACAGAGGCACAAGGCTTGGTGATGAAGGTAGGCTGGGCCAATGCCTCTTTAGACCAGGGAGGGTGGGTGGCTACTGGTCACTGGGAGGAGACAAGAAGAAAGGGCCCTCTTGAGCCTTCGAGAGAGTGGCCTGACATCTAGATTTCAGAACTAGGAAAGCAAAGCTCTCCTTCTGCCAACCTCTTAGATAGCAGCAGTTTGTTCCAGCACCTACAGGAAACCAATTCAATATTCAATTGAGGAGGTAATTATGTTAAATACATAAAATCGCTGTTTCAGTTCCTCTCTTGATGTTTCAGAACAAATTAAGAACTAGCCAGAGGAGCCACAAGTGAGACCAAAACGGTCAGCTCTAAAGGAGATGTGACTCCTTAGCCACAGCGTGACTTGGCAGTAGAAATCTATGGACTCGGGTGCCGATGTGTCCCGGTCTATGCATCACGCCCTGTGAGCAGGTCCTTCCACCCTCACTGAAGATGAGTGGGAAGTGGGGGAGGCGGCTTGCAGCTCATCCTCCCTCATCTGCCCAAGCAGATCATGGGGGACAATGGACTTTTCTGAGACGTGAGCTGGACACTGCCTTTTCACAGTAAAAGACGAAGTGAGATGACAGGTGTTCTCCCTGGTGACACTGCAATCATACCTCCTCATGGAAACCTGGGGATATGCCAAGTCTCACAGAATATAAAATAGTACCTTAAGAGTGAGTCTAGCCAAATAAAGGACATGAACTGAAGAGTCCTTAGTCAAAACATTATATCAGCAAAGATAAATCATCACATAAATTATAATTCAAGATACACAACACTATACATAACCAGAAGAGCAAAAAAAATTTTTTTTCCAAGACAGGGTTTCTCTGTATTGTTTGAAGGCTGTCCTGGAACTTGCTCTGTAGACCAGGCTGGCCTCGAACTCACAGAGATCCACCGGCCTCTGCTTCCTCAGTGCTGGGATTAAAGGTGTGCACCACCAACTCCCAGCTAAAGCAAAGTTATTTTAACATTTTACCTCTTTTGAAATGGATACATCTCACTATCATTGCTTTAGGTATACCTTTCTAGTGGCATGTAAAATCATGCTACTTTTACAATCAAGGGAATTTTAGGCTTAGTGGAATCTAGTATACAAAACAAGCAAAAAACAAAAACCCAAGGAGATCGCTTTAAAATTGCAAAATTAAATGCTAGCAACATACATATACACACATGTGAGTGCACACACACACACACGCACACACACACACACACACACACACACACACACACACACACACGATAGGTCTGAACTAAAGAACAACTCAACAGTTGTACATTATGCCTACCTCAAGATCAAGGTTTTCGGGGTGTACTTTTTCCTCAGTTTCCAATTCTGTGCCATTCTGCCTCGGAAGGGAAGGTGTGGTGGCAGAGTCTTCACTTGGGGACTGTTCTTTGTCATCTGGCCTGTCGCCCTCCTCCATGGGGCTGCTCTTTTTTATGCTCCTGGGTCGAGGTGAAGGCTTAAAGTGGTCATCTACTTCATGACTGCTGCTGTTTTCCCCTGAAAACGAAACTTTTGGGTGAGTGTATGAAACTGACCTCGGCTTCAGCTACCCTCCCGGCGAGGCCGCAGTGCTTGGAGCATCGGGCAAGCACACTCTTCTCCACAAGCTCCAATAAAGCACAGGTCCCATAATCAAAATCTAAAAATAGTGTTGCCATCCTGGAGTTAGTCTAGTTTAGTTTTATGAGAAGTTAGTTTCAATTTTCTGAGTTCTCTTAGTATTAAAAACATTTCCAAACCATAAACCATCACACAACCCTCCCTCTAGGAAATGAAACATCGGCTGAAGCCAGACCCTCCATACAACACCAGTCCTTTTAACCATTCAGCAGCAAGGTCTCCATCCAAGGACTTTGTAGGTAGATAAAACATAAGACTCTAAATAAATAAAATGACAAAACAAAAGTAAGTGTTATTACAATCATGCAGAAAATGATGCTGGCCTTCGGGGGATGGAAGGTCTCTTGCTGGAGGAAGGGATACAAAGAGGACCGGTTAGAGAAGGAGGTTCTCCAGCTGTTACAGTGGTGCAGAGGGTGCTTAGCACTCAGTGGTTCTGTGGTGCAGAGGGTGCTTAGCACTCAGTGGTTCTGTGGTGCAGAGGGTGCTTAGCACTCAGTGGTTCTGTGGTGCAGAGGGTGCTTAGCACTCAAGAAAACAGCTTAATCTCCAGCATCATACATACAGAATAAAAATTAAAGAAACAAACGATTGATTTAGAGGGTATAGCTAAAGCCAGGAAGTACATTCCTTTTGAAATGAATGAATCAGCTATGTATTCATTCATTCATTCATTCATTGATCTTGATGCCTCATAAATTCTCTATGCTAGGTATTTTTAAGGGCCTCTAGCCTCAATTTTTACTCTTTAAACAGAATAACACAACAACTTTAGTGATTTTAGGCCCCATTTCTATTCCCAGAAATAATGTTGAATTCTCAAGAAGAAAAGTAAGTTCTATTCATTTGAACTGCTTTGCTTCAACTTTAGCAAGAGAACCTACTTAGATGGAAACACTGAAAGGGGTTCTGCTGCCACCTGGTGGTTACAACATAGTATTGTCTTGCTCATTTTAATTCCACCTTCACTTCAGCTTCCCCACCAACTTTTTCCAGTAGATAAAAGAACATCTTGCTTTTTCACCCACGTCTATGTAGTGCAGGCTAGCCTCAAAGTCACATCGATCCTGCTTCCTCCCCCTCTAGAATGGTAGGACTTCATGTGTGCATTAACACAGCAGGCTCTAGTCAACCTTTACAACGGATTAACTAGGTGGCTTGGCATATCCATCACTGGTAATGACACACACCCAGCTGTTCCAGACTCATTTATGATGCTGTATTCACATTTCATCTCCGACTTCCTTTTTTGCTTTTTTCTTTATTTCTCTTGTCATTTCTGGGGATCAAATTCAGGACCCTTTACATATGCTGGACAAGAATTTATCATTATCCTAGAGCCTCAGTCCTCATAGTTTCATAATAACTAAGTTCAACTACATTCCTTTCCCCCTGTGATTCCATCACTACACTTGGAAGACTCGGGTTAGAAGTTAATTCACCTTCCCGATACTGATGGCATTTTCCAGTTACTTCAAGAGATTTCCTAAACAATACTGTGGGACAGGAAACAGGAAAAACAGGTTTGCCCTCCTACTCATGAAGTGGCTGAAGCCATTTGCCCAAGTCACATATAACTGACGCGTGGCAATGTTTGTAACCAGCGTTTTGGACACTTTTCCAGGGGTCTCTGCTCACTTTTACCCTTTATCAGGGAGGGAAGGTCACTCCTTCACATACATGTGTAATAAAGTTTCATTTGAATTTACTGGTGCCATCTACTCTGTTAAGTATGAAGTATTTGTCAGCACTACATGTGACAGTGTGATTGGGGAGGATTTTACGCAGCTCAGCATCAGCTACTTCTTCCTTTATAAAACAGAAAAGAAGATGAGCAGGAGACGTGGTCACACTACGGGCTCCCAGAGTACCACATGGCTGTCCTCCATCCTTCCTCTCCAAGGTCACGTGTTCAGCAGACTAGTGGAGAGTACTCCAGTGTGTCCCAATCACACCAGGAAACTAGATTTTGGCTGACAGTCCCATTCAATAGATCAAAGAAAGAGTCTGTGTTCTTAAGGAGAGTCTGGAAGCTTCATTAACAACAAAAGCCAAATATTGGTATAGAAATGTTTCCATGCTTCATGGACTTGAACTTGAACCCAGGGCCACCTATCTGTCGCCTCACTATACCCCCAGTTTGTAGATGACTGTCCTGATCTTGGAAACACATGGAGATTAGAATAGATTTACTGCAGTTTGTAGATGACTGTCCTGATCCTGAAACACATGGAGATTAGAAGATTTACTGCAGCCTCCTCCCCACAAACAGGATTGAAGCTGATGAGCCAGGAGTTTGGGAGCTACATCTATGGGGGACCACAGCAACTCTGGATTTCTCTCAAGCCCCAGTACAGATTCCAGAGTGAACATACATAGGGCTTTCCTAGCTTTGGTTACTAAGTTATAGCTGGAAAACTGGACAGTTACATACGTTAGCTACCATAAAAAAGCATTTTGTGACAGGTTATCTTAAAACAAATGTTCTGCAAATGTAATTACAGTAATTTCCTAAGTTACCTGAAGATGTACTTCTTTTGATAGGAAGAACTCTGGGCTTTGGCTTTATTGTGATGATCTCTTTTCCAACTTCTTGATCATCCTTTTGGGATTTGGAAAAGGAGTTTCCAGTCCTATCCTCATGAACATGAGGTGACATGTCTTCACTGTCCTGGGAGACAGATTCCTGCCCATCTTTGGCTATGTCACTGTTGACTTTCTTGGTTTTCAAAAAAGATAGTCTTGGAGAACTCTTTTCTTCATCATCAGATATATGAAAATCATTTACCTTTTTTCTAAGTAGACTTTCATCTGTTGAGGTATCTGAAAATTCACCTAAAGAAACTGAAATATAAACAAGGAAAAGGTGAATTGAAGAGTGTATCTTAAACATCTGGAGGTTATATTTCATTTCTCTTCATGAAGAGAAAGGACTAGAAATTAATCAACAACCCCAAATAAGCACAAATTTATTTTGTAACTCTTGAAAATAGTTAATCTAGGCATGCTTTGTTGACATTTATGAAATAAAATTTAACATATTAAATTCATTAACATATTAAAATTATTTACCAAGTGCCTACAGCACTGTGTTTATTCTGGGGTATGTCCCTCAAAGGTTACTAAATGTAGCACCCACCCCAAAATATAGTCTAATAAAGAACACCAACTTAGCAAGACACACATGACTTATCAGCTATTCAGAATATTTTTACAGAGAACATTTATTCAGTGAATATTACAAAGTAGCACACTTAATTTCAGATTTAGAATTCTATATGCTTATACCTGAAATCTAAAGTGGAATGTTTTCTTCACTTAATAGAAACCAAGTTAAACCAAAATAATGGATATAGTAACATGGGGGTCTATTTTTCAAAACGACCCACTTTGGTGGTTTGAATGAGAATGTTCCCATGACCTGAGGTACATGAACACTTGGTCCCCAGTGGGTGGCATTGTTCAGTGAGCAGGTGGTACCCTGTTAGAAACCTGATCACACTGGTTTTGGAGGAATGTAAAATACCTCGGAACTCTGGATTGGAATAGCAGTTAAACCCTATAAGGAGAGTTTGAAAGTCCATTCTAGCCTGGAAGACTGACGTTCTGAGAGTAACCGGGACTGTAGGGGCCCAGCTCAAGAAGTTTCAGAAGGAAGCAAGGACTTTAACAGCTTCTGGGCTAGAGGCCATTCCTGTGATATCCTGGTGAAGAATCTTCTGCCCTTGTCATACAGTCTTGTCTGAGGATAAATCTGAGGGCTTTGGTTTTGCCAATTTGACACAGACTGGAGTATCTGGGAAGAGGAAACCACAACAGAAGAAGTGCCCCCAACATAATGGCCTGTGGGCATATCTACAAGGCATATTCTTGATTAGTGATTGATGTGGGAGGGGCCAGCCCACAGTGGGCGGTGCCATCCCTAGGCAGGGGGCCCTGACAGTGTAAGAAAGCAAGATGAGCAAGCTAAGGGGGAGTAAGCCACTTAGCAGTGCTCCTTCATGTCCTCTGCTTCAGTTGCTATCGTAGGCTCCTGACGGTGACATGCCTCAGTGAGGGATTGTTATGAGGAAGCTTAAGCCACATAAACCTTTTCCTCCCCAAGTTGGATTTGGTTAATATTTAGCACAGCAATAGGAAGCAAACAAAATGCTAATGTAAAAAGCAAAGCGCTAATTTCTTTGCTAGAGGAAGCTTGAAGACAGAGGACCACTGAATCAGTGGTGGGGTCATTGCTGATTTTGCTTACATAGGTATATAAGACAAATGAAGAAGTCAGGCAGACAAAAACACAGCCTGGAGAGAAAAAGAGCCTGAGGAAGCTTAACGTTGCAGCACAACTTGTGCCTGGGGGCTGATGAGATCACTGCCTCAGGAGGCTCCCAGCTCTGCAATGGACCAAAGGGAAGGGTGCCCTCAGGGTACGGCCCCTCCCCCTCCAAGTAACTAAATTTCCAATTGTGAAAGAGTTTATGGAATTCTGCTTCTAGAAATCAATGGAATTTTTAAAAGAAACCTGACTCAAGGGAGTGAGAGCCCACCCCAAGCTCACAGTCAAACTTAGTAAGGACTTTGGAGGCAAGCAACTCAGAAATGTGAGAGGATCATGGATTCTCCTCCTATGGGCTGTGGACAGACCACCAGGCTAGGCAAACTGTGGCCCAGAAGTCTCTGTTTGAAGGCCTTAAGGGATCAGAAAATCATTGTGTCAAAATGTCAAAATGAAACTTGGGCTGTGGTGGGGACCCAAGATGTTGGAGAGGCATAGCCATGAGATATCTGCCAAAGAGAGTTCCACACGGGATGAGAACCAGACCAAAAGAAAGATGACAAGCTTAAGGGCAGAGCCAACTAGAGTCCCAGACACTAGATATGGAGCTATGTGGGACTTCAAGCTTGCCCTGCTGTTTCTTTCGGTCTTGTGTTAGCTCAGTATTTCCTCACTAAGCCTCCCGCCCCATTCCTCTCTTGGAATGGCAATGCATATCCTGTCCCGTCATATGTTGGAAGCATGTAATTTCCTTTTCTTATTTTTCAAGGGGTTACAATTAAGAGATGCCCTGAGCCTCAAAAGAGACGGGACTTTTAAACAGCGTTGAAAATGTTTAAAGTTGACCTAAATGTGTTTTACACTGGCCATGCGTTTCTGGGTTACAGAAAGTGGAATGTGGTGGTCTGAGTGAGAATGTCCCCATAGACTCAGGTACCTGACCACTTGGTCCCCAGGTGGTGGCATTGTCTGACGAGCAGGTATCAGCTTGCTTCCTGCTTCAAGTGTGCTACCTTATTACAGAAGTTGCCTCTCAGCTTATTGTTCCTGCCCCCACGCCTGCAGCTTTCACCATGCCCACCCCCCATGACCGACTTGCATCCTAAAACTATAAACTAAAATAAACTCTTTCTCTCTGTGTCATGAGGTTTTATACCAGTAACAGAAAAGTAGCTCTGGTTGCTGTCTAACTGCAGGATTCTTAAAGTTGAACTTACATGTGAAACTACTTTCCAATACAGCTTATTCCTGAGGCATCATTTTACTGTTGGTGTGGTAATACTGTACTTACATATTTTTAAATTCATATTCGGAAATAAGCAAAAGTAATTCATAAGCTTCTAGACTATTGAGTCGCCCTCTAAGACATCGCACTCACAGAATTCTGAAACTAGTAAATTCACAGGCCCTGTATTATCATAAAAAGGGTATGGGTTGGTGAAATGTAACTAAGGAAGCAAAACACAGGAAACCGATCCATTTGTGTCTTCCTTTACATACCAATCTCATCACTGTCGAAGTCATCCGAGTATTCGGAACTTCTCTGCCTGGCTGACCGGGCTGTGATTGCTCTGATCAGCTCATCCTGAAATGAGATCAGTAATATCAATTCCCATCCAAGCAGGGATGTCTCATGCTGGGGACCAGGTCACTGAATCTACTTCTTACCCTAGGGCACATCTCAAAACTCAGGCATCTGCCTTCCCACAAATAGCCTGATGCCAGAGATAACCTATGGCTTAACAATGCCTGGCTAACACCTACACTCCCTAGTGAGATCTCCTGTTCTCTCTCACATCAAAAGCTCCCTGCTCCTAACAGCCCCCTGTCTCACTTCCCAGCTTCTCTGGTCAAACAACCTCCGCCATGGCCAAAGCCACATTCCCCTATCTAAGCCTGTACAGAACTTTCATTAAACAGCAGCTTGATCGGCCATGTTGTTTTGCTGTCCATCTCTCCTCATGTCTCTTGTCTCATTCATTCTAGGTTCCCTGGGCTCGAACCCGTTGTGCCCTGCTGGTCAGGGAAGTCTCATACTTAGAAGTAATTTTTAAGCAAATAGGGCTTGATTATTCTGTTTTCAAATTTAAGTTTCATTCACTTTAAGCCTACTTTGTGCCATGTTCCCAAGTCATCAGACTCACTGAAGAACACTGAAACTAGAGCCATCACCTCTGGGATTTGTAGTTACACAAGGAGTGACTGCTAATACCAGATAAATTAACTGCCGGTTACGATCTGAGAGCTAAATGCTATTAATAATAGGGGCATTAATTTAGATGGGATTTATTAGAAACTGACATTTTGTTAGAGGCCGGTACGTTTTGAGGGAGGTAGGGGCTTGGGTTTGACGAGCACGGTAGGCACACTCTCACTCAGCCTTGCAACTGGTACTTTAAGCCTACTGCGGAGATGGGCATAATCAACACTGCAAAAGCGGATGCAGAGTTTGAAATTGTAGTGATCCAGCAGTAAGTCCTTTCTACGCTTACAACAGAAAACTGAAGGCTAGGCAGAGACAGGCTCGGAAGCGGCTCTCCCACTTTCAACTCAGAAGCCAATACTGCAGAAAAGACAGCCACAGAGGTGGGTGTTTTAATACCGAGTCCAGAGTTGACAGATGACCTACAACACAGCAAAGGAGAAGCAAGAACTCCTCCCACTTCTCGTCAACCGCCCCGCCCCTGCAAATATGCCAGTGCTGAGACCTAGGGCACTCAAAAGCAAAATGCTTTGACATATCTTACCTGAAAAGAAGTTCTCTTGGTAGCTTTTGGACTCTTAGTATACGCCAAAGTCGTGCTGAAGATTTCATCAGACATAGTGTATTCTTTTTCCTCTACTTTTACAAAACTGCTAAGGAATAAACGGAATAATACATTCAGCCTTTGATGGTGCCTGAAAAATACACAAATATATAAAAAGAATTAGACGTTTTTTACATGATCGGGATACTCTATTCCTGGGGTTAGTGCCCTCCCTGCCAAAAAAAGAGAACCCGTCCTGAACATTGGCCTATATTTTCACCTAAAAATATAAACGGTGTTTTAGTAAAGACATGAAATTCTCACAACAAATTTGCTTTCACGAAGAGGAAACACAAAAGGAAGTTGCTGCACTACCACTATTTTAAGGATGAGCAAACTGCATTAGCACCAAATGCTGCCAAATATTTTTTCACCTATCCATTATTAAACAATATAGCATTGCAGATGGCAGTATGACTTAATTTCAAGACTAGATCAAGAAGACTGTCAGAGTCAAGGTTATATGATCCCTTCCCTGCCCCGGAAAAAAAAATGCCTTGCATATAACCGTATTCAAAAACAATGCTTAACCACAAACAGCAGTGACATTTTCCCAAGCCATCAAACACACACACAAACCACACAAAGACTTCTCGACACCAGGCTGCATTACACTAGGCTGCATTAAAGTCGCTGTTTCTCGCGCGCGACGCTGGAGGCCCATTCCGAGAGCCGGCCACCGCCCAGAGTTCCCCAGGCCGGCCAGGTGGCGTCCGCGTCCCCAGCTCCGCGCGGCTCCCGACCCAGCACGCGCCAGGCCGGCGCACACCCAGCGCGGTCCCCGCGGCTCCTCCGCGCCCCACGGCCCGCCGCTCCTGTACCCACCCAGCGCCGCCTGCGCCCCCGCTCCTGCGACCACCTGAGAACCCAGCGGCTGGGATCTAGCACCGATATCGCCCTCGGCCAGGGCCTGGAAGTCTGTGAAACCAGGTATTGGAACAAGCAGGAGGCGGGGCAAAAGATGGAGGCGGAAGGCGGTTGCTAGGTAACAGCGTCCCCGGGAGGAAGTGACTTCCCACCCGCCTGGTCTCTTGGGTACCCAACACCGCCTTTCGGCCTGCGTCGCTGGGATAACTGCACAGACCAAGGGAAGTGACGTCACCGGTGTAGGTGTTGATAGCTCCGTGCGGTTGCAGCCTGTATGCAATGACTGTTGCCTAAGAGACAGGACGGCCCTCTGCCATTGAGATAGGGAACCTGGATTTGCTCATGCTCAGTTAGAGTCCTTGTTTATGCGCAGGTATGGCGTAACCGCGACGCAAAGCGTCGTTTTGTTCGCCAGCTAGGACGTGGAATCTGTGAATCTCAGCAGTGTCAACGGAACGGACAGAATACTATGGTAGTGACTCTTGCAATCTTTGGAGTCAACCTGGACATTTGATTCTTGGCGTTTGCAAATTAAGGTCTCTGTGCTTTGATTTCTTCCGAAACTAATAACTATAGCGATGCCTGACTTAAAAGGTGGCTGTGAAGGCTGAATGCAATGTGTAGTGAAATACTGGGAAGTGTCTAGAATTGCATTCGGTTAACATTATGTATGAGCGCTTCTTGCAACTAATGCACAACACGGCGGGGCTTGGACAGAAGTATCACACAGCAGAGAGCTAGTTTCACGTCTTTGATGGAAAGTGGCTCCTTTCTATGCTAAGCGGATAATCGCTTAAAAGTCAGCCAGCAAATAAAAATGGGCAAGTAGGCTGGAGGACACTGTACTTCTGCAGGAATCAGTATGGTTGTCATTTAGTTATCATCGATAATATTAATACACAAAACACTTAAAAACTTTAAGTTACACAGATTTCATCTAGTTTTAATTTGAAAACAAGTTTGTCAAGATTAATTCATTGACTAGCAACTAAACTAGTTTGTTTCTCTGTCTCCATAATATTTTACTTAGTAGTTATTTCTAAAAAAATGACAGTGAAAGGTAAATTTAATAAATCAGCATATAGAAAATTTAAATGTACATAAAAATAAATGCAACTTTTGTAAGAAAAATCTTTCTAAATAATCAATGGTCCTTTTTTTAAAAGCTCAGTTTATGAAATGTCTTTCAAATTGTTCCTGTTTGGTAAATTTGGTTTGCTTAATTGTGTTGATTTTAACTTTTTTGTGGTTTTTTCGAGACAGGGTTTCTCTGTGGCTTTGGAGACTGTCCTGGAACTAGCTCTTGTAGACCAGGCTGGTCTCGAACTCACAGAGATCCACCAGCAGACCTCTGTCTCCCGAGTGCTGGGATTAAAGGCTTACGTCACCACCGCCCAGCTATTTTTTTAAACTATTTTTAAGTAGGGCCCGGCATGGTGGCATTTACCAATAGTCCTGGCATTTGGGAGTCAGGTGCAGGCACATCTCTGTGAGTTCAAGGCCAACCTAGTCAACAGAATAAATTCTAGGCCAGCCAGAGCTACATAGTGAAACCCTGCCTCAAATTCAGTAAATAAAACATATCTAAAAATAAATACAAAGCTAGAGAAGTGGTTCAAAAGTTAAGAGCACTGGCTGTTCTTCCAGTGGTCCTGAGTTCAATTCCATGCACCCACATGGCTGCTCACAACTGTGTATAGCTGTAGTCCAGCGAATTGCAATGCCCCCTTGAGGTGTGCATATGTTACAGACAAAGCACCCATCTACATAAATAAAGACATCTTAACTATTTTAAGTGAATTTTTGTACTAGAAAAAGATTTTCTATTCTCACCAGTTACTGTTAACTTTTCTAACCTATATTTCACTAACAAATGTGATTCTGTTAAAATTCCTGTGCCCTCAGCAAGGAGGTACTCACATTTTCTCACATGGGAAGAACTAAATTTTAGACAATTTGCAGATCATTATATGTATGCAAAAGTAAGAGCCATGTTCACTTTTTTATCCATTTGGCTGATAAAACTTTACTTTAGGCAGGACTTATGAATAGAAAAATTACCGAAACATCTGTGGAGGGGCTGGAGGAATGGCTCAACAGCGAAGACAGCACCCTGCTCTTCCGGGGACCCTAGTTTGGTTACCAGCACCTACATCAGGCAGTTCACGATCACCTGTAACTGACAGTAAGGGATACAACAGCTTCTTTGGGCCTCCATTGAAAGTGGCATGCATGTACACAGACACACACCCACATAAAAATACATAAAAATAGTCTTCAAGTCTCTAAAATCTCCAAATTATTAGTTGCCATTTGAATGAAGATCTTTTCCTATAGAATGCATTTGATTTCATTTCAATTTCTTAATTGATGCTATTAATTAGTAGATGGCATAGTTCCCTTATAGAAAACTACAGGAAACAAAAACAGTTCACCTAAAATGGTTGATTTCTCCGCAGGATCTAATAGATGATGTCTTTTCATTATTTTCACATGGTAAGCTACAGAAATTTTAGTGCTATGCTAATATTTTTCAAGCCACTTAGTATATGTTGAAAGCAATGTTTTACATCATCAGAATGGTGGAACTATTTTTTTCTAGTGGGCTGTAGGCCCATAATTGTTGAGTGAATTAGTGCATGACTAACTAAATACAACCTTAACTGAAAGATAACATTAAAGCACCGCAAAGGCTCACAGAAAACCCACTCTTACAAAGAACCTCTTCAGTGCACAAATCATCTCAGGAGCTTTTGATTTTTCTATAAATTACATACTATCCTTTCATGTGTCTGTTGAGTTTAGCACCTTCATATCTAAGCTTAGAGCTCATCCCTTTGTTAAACTCACATAAGCAACATGTTCTGAATCAGCCTTTGAGAGTCCAAATGGAGAACACCAAGTTCCTGGCTACCAATAGGCCATGACTGCAAGGCTGAGTAAGTTCACAGTGGGAATCTGTTCAGATGATTGCTCCCCACAGGCACAAAATGAGAAGCTCTAAAGAGAATGCCTCCTGGCAGTATCTCCGTTTTTACAGATGCAAGCGTGAGTTGAATACCAAACTTAGGAGAGAACACCGAAACAGAAGTCTAGTACATGGAACCCATGTGACAGTGGTTTTGAGTGGTTGAGAATGGGTGCTGCCTTTTGCTACTGGTTAAAATGTGCTCTTGTGTAAGCAGCTTGTACTCACTCCCTGTCGGACTTGCTGTGTGTCCTGTAGTGTGTGTGCATGCATGTGTGCGTGTGTGCATGCGTGCGTGTGTGTGTGTGTATGTGTGTGTGTGTGTATGTGTGTGTCAGGGAGCAGGGTGAAGGATGAGAAGACCTCTCTTCACATGCAACGCAATTGAGATGGGACTCCTCTTCAACAGTGTCTTATCCTCCCACATCAGGAAGCTATCTGTGGCCCTGTGGCTTGTGGTGCAGGTTAGAGATAGATAAAAATAAAAAGGAAGCAAAGGGCTGTGCTTACAGCTGTCATGGGATGATAACTACAGCAGCCTCTGGGCATTGGATAGTGAGCTATACATAAATCCCCATGGCTATTGATGGATGAAGGCTGCGCTCAGACACAAGTACCCAGACAGCTGGGGAATTGTGGGGCGAGTACGCTGCTGTGAAGAAGGGACTCACAAAGGGGTCATCAGAGTCTCAAGGAGAGCCAGCAGCTAGAGTAAACTACAGTGATTTAAGTGTAATTTTTCATATATCCAGAAAAACTTAACATCACTGCATTGAAAGAAAACATGTCAAAAAATATGAATTCACTTTTGTCAACCTTAACCTTAAAAGTAAATAATGCCTTGATGTTGTGAAAAAGCGTTCTGCATGGTTGCCTGATGTCACTGAGGACTGCTGGAAGCATCAGCTTCACAGACACCCCTCATACTATAAAAACCTCTGCAGGACATCTAGCCAGCACCTGCCTGTTCAGACCGGAAATGACACCACCCTTTTTATTAATCAGACTGAAGATTAGTGTTTCAAAATGTCCCATTTTGATCCTTTGCCCCAATGTCCTTGTTTATGTCCATATTTACTATAACATAATGTTCCTATGGCAATGCTCTGCTATTGCCAAACAATTTCTTTTGTTTTTAAGGAATCTCACTGTTTTAAAAAATTCAACTTGCCAAGTACAACTATGCACCATTGCATTTTATATAGAGATAGCTGAATTAGTATACATCAAGAGAAACATGATTATTTATTCTAAAACAGAACTCATCACCTTGAACAAACTGACAAACTGTCTTTGTTGTTAGGTTAATATCCTAAGTCATTTGTCACTACCGTGTTCTAGTTCTGGGTAAATACTAGAACTATTGCTATCTATGCTGGATCTGGTATAATTCTACTTTGCTAATATTATTTATTTTAATCTTTATCTACCCTTATGAAATATCTACTTTCTGTATATTCACATTTTATAGGTGAGACAATAAAGGTCTTGAAAACTTAATTATTTTCCCTGGGATATTTATTTCAGTGATTAATGACTACAAACAAAATTGGATCCGGTTAGACTAACCTAGAATTGGTGCTCTTAACTCACGGTCTAAGTAGGCAAAATGCCCCTCCCGTGGGGGTGGCAGTCCACAGCCTAATCCCTAGCACCTGGGAAATATATTACCTCATTTTGTAATTAATTAGATTAATGACTTCAAAATATAGGAAATACCCTCGAAGACTCTGGAGGAGCCAATGCAGAGAGTCACAAGAGCCTTTATAAGAGAACTTGGGAGGGTATCAGATGGGGCGATGGGGAAACCAGAGGTTGGAGTGATGCTGGGCATAGTCAGGGGATTTGATCAGCTTTTATGGATTTCCCTTTATATCCCTCAGACTTGTGACCCTGTCAACCCATTATGGAGAAAACAACTAGCAAACCGAAGACATTATTCACCCCATGTGTAGCTTGTTGAGCCAATGGATTTATTAGATTTACTTACAGGAGCACGTGTAACTCGAGCAAATCCATCATCCCCTCCGGCATGAACAGTGGTATACAAAAGCTTCGCCACTACAGTTCCCTACATACCTTGCAAGTAGCGACATCAGAGGGTTTCCTCCTCTTCTGGCAATTGTCTGCTGCTTAAACGGTATTTAGGAGGGGTCTCATG